AATTATAAAACATGATGAGAATGCAATATCCCAAGGAAAGGAGCAACTGTGGAGAACATCCTGGGCTGTGCATTTGTACTTCATGCAAAATTTAACATCATAAATTAAGGAAGAATTTCTTGGCACTGACCAAACTTTGGTACTCTCTTCCATGGAAATGGAATGTCATGCAAAGGTTTGCCTCACAAATAACCTCATCCCTGAAGTGGAGAACCCCAGGGTGAGCAAATAATTAGATGTGTTTTCAAAAAGAAGAAAAACTAAATGAAGTAGCCTAAGTAAAACAGAACAAACAGAGGAAAGGATGAGTCAAGTGTTCAGTTTTGCGGATGGAATACCAGGTGTTTCAGGTGGTGTTAGCTTTAGAGAGTAGAAGGGAAGAGCTATTCTGGTCCAAGGAAAGTACAAAACAGTGCATTCCAAGGTTTCTACAGTTTATTGGAAATAAAAAGCAAGAATTTAAGAAAATTTTCAACTTTCATTGAAAATAGATTTTTTTTTCTGTTGGACAGAAGAAGAAGATGGGAAGTCACAGGTTTTAGAAGACAGAAAACATTTTTGTATAGATGAGGAACGTGAATAAACCAGACACACATGATGGTATTACTGTTCAATGCTGGGTGTTGATTTGTAGCTTGCAGTTACAAACCTATTCTAGAATAACGCACCTGTTAGAGTTGTTTCAGGATATTTTCTACTCATCCATTTGGAATAAGTACAAGTAGTTTCAATACTTTTCTGTTAGGAAGTTTGTAAAAGTTTTTCAAATGACTGAATAAGCAATATATTTAATAATTATACAATTTCAGTTTAGAAATGTAGTAGTGCATTAATTGTTAGAAATAACGATCTATATGTATAAGGTATTCATTAAATAATGGATTAGAATATGATTTTAGATAGAATAAATATCCAAAGGTGTTAATCATTTAAAATGTTAATACCACTATGATGAAATTTTCTACAGGTATATTGTTTTTCTTTGTAACACTGACTAACCATACTGCTATACTAAGTGTAGAAAAATTACAGAATGTTGTACGTTGCACAACACTTATTTGAAATCTCTCTAAGAATATATAGAGAATATTAAGTTATTTTCAAAGTTAAATTCCATCATTATAATATTAATTATCTTAAGTTTAGCAACATAACCAAATGTTGGCATTACGATTATTTTGAAGTGTACCTCTGGTTCACTGAAACTTGTATTAGTTTCATGCTATCATTTTCTGTAGGCCATGTATACCTCTTTAAAAATTAACCCTATCAAGGCTGAAGGTTTAGCTCAGTGGTACAAACTCCTGGCAAGTTCAAGGTCATGAGTTTGATCCCTGGTACCAAATAATACGTTAATAATAGTAATAATAAAAATAATAATTGACTATATAATTGTCTCATATACTGATAAATAATAGTAACATAGTTAAAAAATATTCTTAACCTGGCATAATGGCACATATCTCTAATTCCAGAATCCTGAAGGAAAAAAGATGCCACGTTCAAGCCTATTCTAGGCAAATCAGCAACGTAAAAGGGTCTTGTATCAAAGTTTTTAAAAAATAAAAGAATAAAAATGGCTGAAGATGTATGTTAATGAGAAGGCTTAGAACAAAAAAAAAATCTTACTTGTGGTCACATATTCTTACTGAATATGTGAAAGCAAACTTATAAATGGATCTTAACAAATTTCTTAGCTTAGTAGAATCAGTACCTCTGAAGTAGCATTTTATGATGGAGTCTTTCTGAATGTAGGTTAATCATCCAAATTTTATTCTTCTGAACATCAGCCCAGTCAGAGGTCATCAGAATGTACTTATCTAGGTAAAGCACTGGATTTACTGATGATACACACATTACACTAATAGAAGGAATTAACTCTTTAGAGTTTTCCAAACCTGAGACCATACAGAAGACAGTTTTACACAATTCACCTTAACAACTACTGCATAAGCATCACCATCACACAGCCAAGGATTCTGTATCATTATTGAAAAAGTTAAGTCAACAAAAGGAATTAAAGTTTTCCTGTAACTCAGTTTATTTTTTATAACACAACAATATTCTTATTTGACTTCAGTAGTTTTCTAATAGATTTTATTTTTCTTTGATCTGTTTGTAATGTTAGAAATGAGATGGATTTATTGTTGAAGACTTCATATAAAATACTCAGAATTAATATCTCATAGAAATTTTTCTTGAGTGAGTAGTTACAGGTTGCAATAAATCTAAATTTTTGTCTGCATTTTGGGGTATATGGTGATAGTCTCACTATACTTTTATTTAAAATATTCTTAAAGTTATTGCCATTATAGTATTGTCTATTTATCTAGTTAGGCTCAAAATCAAATTCTTATATGCATTTTAAAAATGCAGTTAGGGCCAGAGATTTATCTTAGTGGCATAAGTGTCTTCCTGGCACTTTATGGATTTAGTATTGGTTTGTAGTACATAATGATTACATTTTTAATGAAGGTTGGTATACGTAAATAATATACCTTAACTCTGGTTTTTTTGTTTGTTTGTTTGGTTGGTTGGGGTTTTTTTGTTTGTTTCATTTGCTTTTGATGCCAGGTATCGAACTCATGACTTCACACTTACCAGGCAAGTACTTAGCCACTGAGCTATGTCCCCAGTGACCTCAACTCCTTTTTAGCACCTTTCTCCCCTAATTCCCAACTTTCAACTCTTTCCTTTTGAAAAATATCTATCTGCTTATTTCCTATTATCTACGTTATATTTTGCTCTTTTTTGTTTTTGTTTTGTTTTGTTTTCTGTCAAAAAACCAAATGTTCTGCCAACTGTTGCATTACCAAATGTTCTCCCAACTGTGACAATTTCCCTAATGTCTGAAAAGGCACTGTACTACTGTAGCTGCCCCTGTTATTGTGTTAAATGAATAATAAACATAACATCTTAAAACCAGGCCCTATTCTTCTCTTTCCCTGTCACCTGATCATAGGGTAACGCACGAGACCATAAATGTATGCTGGAGATAGAATGAAGTACGGCACATAGGTATCATGGGGACTCTGGTCACTACTTGTAACTTATATGTGCCTTCAGGAACTGCTGGGCCTGGTCATAAATGTACGACTTCAATTCAATGATGGACTGGTCTATGCTTATGCAGTTCTGACTCAGTGGACCATATAATGCAAAGTTCATGATGAGCAGCTCAAGCCCATGATACCTGGGTGTTCCACATTCAGTTTCCACCAAGACTCTGAAACAGGGTTTGTCAAAAAGATAGTTGTTTGCACATAATTGCAGAGTATTGTTTCAAAACCTTAAGAGTATCTGTTCTGATTTATTTATAGAAGCTCGACAGAGGTTCCAAACAGCAAGTCTCTGTTCCACTGGTACTTCAGGGACCATTGGATATGCTTGATCACATTAGTCAATAGCCTTCTCTTATTCTTTATGCTATCAACCTAGTGACTTTATAAGTCTCTCAGTCAATTTCCCAGTATAACACATTCAGATAGGGAATGCTTTGCTTAAAATTTCAAATAAGCTCATTACATGTTGCATCTCTATCCCGGTCATAAGAAGGAGCAGATGAAAAACCTTATTTGTTACCTCGGAAGAGATATTGTCACTTCCCACCACATCACTGGATTCCTAGAAATTAAACTGAGGTACAGGGAACTTGAATTTTTGTTGGAATTATTGTCCATGCTCTTACAAATAAATATCTTACCAAAGAGTCTAGAATGATTACCACCTCTTGTTCTTTTGCTCCAATCAGCATAATATCATTAATATAATGCACCCATGTGATACATCATGGGAGAGAAAAGACTGCAATTCCTTCAAAGTAATATATGACATAAGACCAATTAGTTGTTACACTCCTAAGGTAAGAGAGTATTGGTACATTGTTGGTATTGTCAACTGAAATTAAATTGAGTCTGATGGACTTTATGAGCAAGGATGAAAAAAAGCTTTTCCAAATCAAGAGATACATGCTAGCCACTAGGATATGTATTAATTTGTACAGTTTGGAGTCACATATGGTATGACAGCTACAGATGGAGTTACCCCTTGATTAAGTTTATGGTAATGCACAATCCATTTATTTTTCTCCCCAGCACAAATAGGAGAATTAATAGTCACCCTCACATTGTTCTGATCCTTGATGGTGGCAATAATCACTGTTATCTCTCCAGGAAGGCAATATTTTTTGATTGACTAAGTTTTCCAGATACAAGGCAGTACTAATGGCTTTCATTTGGTCTCTCCTAACATAGTAATCTTTACCAAATAAGCGGGGAAATGAACCAAGGCATTCTGCTACTACTAAATATACCTATTCTAATTACCACTGTAACTGGGGAAATAACCACAGGATGAATTCAGAGATGTACCCTATCTTCGAATCCCTTCAATAGCTGACATGCACTTTCTTATTGTTAATATGAAACCAAAACAGCTTGTGGCTTTTCTTAGGATTCATGTTACATAACATTTTCTGCTGGCCCTGCATACATGCTCTATAGGCCATGTCTCTGCGAAAATTTTTATTCCCTGAGCTCAAATAAAAAATCAGGCCAGAAACACTCTTGCACAGGAGCAATAAGAATTTACCTCCTACCAGAGAAACATCCTGGTATCGTTATTGCACCTATACCCACCTGTAACTTGGACTGAAAGCACATATGAGCTGTTTGGTTCCTCTACTCCAATCTGAGAACTTGACAGATTTGGTTCATCTGAATGAACCAGGAAGTCTCTTAGCTTCTCTGCTGACTGAATATTTTCACAGTTCCTCATTGAAGGCAAATTGTAAAGGATTAGTATTTGTAGACCTCTCGTGTGACTTGGGCTTTTTCCAGTTCAAATTAATGTTACCCCACAGTAGAATTTTAACCCATTGACATTTCATATGTTCTAGGTGACGTCCGCAATTTTCTTATTCTATGATCTATCAAACTTAGAAAGTGCTCATGTGCACCCTCTGGTTTTGGTAGCTCATCAACTGTTGAAATTTCATTTACCTGTTTCTTTGCAATCTTGGTTCCACTTATAGGTTCCAAACATGATTGTGTAGGTGACTTGAGCTTCTCTCACGGTGCAGATTGTCTTCAATGTGGTATCATTCCTTTTCTTCTACTAACCTAAAACTAACACAGAACAAATTTAGTAACTATTTACTAGATAATAAAGTAAATTTTATCTTGAAGCCTGGATCCCATTGTCTTTTTTTTAAAACATCTAGGGTATTTTTCTGCAGTTAGTCATGACACTGGTCAATTATCTGGATCATTTCAAAACTCATTTTAAGCTGTTTGTGTAAATGCAAAATAGGCTTCATTTTAGAAACTATTCAGGTTTCCTAAACATAATCTTTATAATTAACCAACTATGTGCATTAAAGATCAGTTACAATTTCTCATCCCAAATTATCACACTTCAAAATGTCCTAATCCAGTATCATGACTTAGGTTTGTCCAACTTGTGTCTCTCTAGTTTACTTTATTTATCACAAGAGGATTTTGTTTTTCTTATTTGCAGCTCGTTATTGGGAAGAAAATTCAAAGGAGTTGTTATTCAACTTTTAGAGATTTTTTTTTTTTATGTTATGTTTCTCATTTTTGGTTCTCTGTCTGGCAAAATAATGATCTTTGTCCTTTGTAAACTCTTTTTTTTTTTTATTTAAAGAAAAGGAAACAAAAAAATACATGGAGATAAAAAAAAGGGTAGAAATAATACAAAATTACAGACAAACTAAAGGTAAGAAATTGCCGGTTGATAAGTTACACATTGTCATCTTCAAAATAGCTGTTCAGGTTATACTCTTACTGCTCAGTCCTCCAATGCTGCTTTAATCTAGAAGATATCTCTCAGTAGAAAGCCAAGAACTCTATAAAGGAAGTGTTTAACATTAAAGTTCCTCTTTTTTAGAGAAATTATATACATGTGGGGAAAATATTTCTTTTGCAATTTATTTTACCAATTTTCTAGATACCCAGTAGGAAGACAAGTGTGGTGCCAACGACTCTATTGTGTCCATAATCAGAAGACTTCTAAATGTGTATACAGAATATTTTTCTTTCATGGAATTTTCTCACAGAATGTATAAATATTCTGGAGGCCACTGCTTGAATTTGCATTTTAACCTGAATTTCAAAATCAATCTCCCATATTATAGTGAAGTTGTTTTAGTTGTGCTTCGGTTTATCAGGAATCTTATTAAATTCAGTTAAAACACACTATGAACTGAGAAATACATGCCATTCTATGTAGACTTTTATTTCTGCAAAATACATGTTCTTTTTAACCTTTACTTTCTTCACTGTTGCCATTGAATAATTTCTTGGTTATACAAATATTCATTATAATTTTAATAGTTTTTTCTGTATAATAGTACAAACATTGTTTTTGTTGTTTTGGGAACTGGCCCACACAAACAAATGTATTTTCCCTACTGCATAAGGCTTGCATATCCATCATTTTTGCTTGAAAATGTAATGATAGGGAGCCACTCATCATTTAACAAGTGAAGTCTGGTGCATGCAGGTAGTGCATTTACCTTATTAAAATGTCCCTTTAAGGCATTACTTAATCAAAAAATTCAATGTATGGAGAAACAAATCTCTAGCACTTTAATTTAATTGTTACAGAAAATACTATATTAACTGCTGTTCCTCTGAGAAATTCAGAGCAAGAGGAAATATTGCCTCTCTATAAAAGCACAGGCAACTTCCTATTGAGTTTGGAAAAGCAGTATATACACCCATCAAACAAGCACTAATTTATCGGATCATTAGGTAAAAAGCTAGAGTTACTTGGAGAGAGTGGTACTTTTCCATTTCAATTTGAAACAAGACATGGCATAATAAATTAAAAGGGAAAAATCAGATAATTGATGCCCACTTTCAAAACTTTTTATATTATAGAATATGGCTATTCAAAAAAAATATGAAATGGATACATCCCTGGATAAATTAAATTAGTGTAGCATGACACTGTGGATAATATAAAATTTAAAATGTAGCCCATCACTGAAAAGGCAAGTTAGTTGGAAGGTTCATTAATGCCAAAATAGATGCATTTGCTTTTATTTACATTTATATATTTCACAAAATCTACTAATTTAGTTATATCGATAAACTAAAGTGAACACTAAAAAACTGTAAGTAGTGCACGATAAGCAATGAATTACAAATTCTCAGAGATCATTTAATATATTATTATCCAGTGTTCTGAGTAAAATTTTCAACAGAGTAGAAATTTACACTTCATGCATGAATTTCTTCCAAGTAACTTCTATTAAATAACATAATTTGTGTTGCTTTAGAAATGTTATGATAAAAATAATATGTCATTGCAACTAATTATTTCTGAAATAAAGTCATGATATAGAAGAGTCAGACTATTCAAATATCTTATGTTTGATTTTGTTATTTTAAAAGAAATTAAGGAGAAAAGAATTGGCGAATGAATTCCACAATAGGAAGTTTGACTCAAATATCTACAGCCAGATGCCAGTAAAACACTTGGATCACCTGTATTTTACACATGAATTATTATCAAAGACTCTAGAAATCCCTTAGCTAAACGCAATAAAAATTATCCACCTGGGGTTATCCAAAAATGAAGGCCTTCTTCCTTATTTCTGTCATTAAGTGAGTTTGTATGATCACTGCATATGAGTATTAAGTAAGAATTTCCACTATACCAAAATCACTTGCCTATTTTATGAGCTTTCTATTTCACATACAGTATTTTTCTGAATAATATCTGAACAATACACTTCATTTAAAAATTAGTCATTATACAGCAATCACCTGGTCAAAGAGTCATTATATGAACACATTAAGGTAATGCATTTTATGATTTTATAAATTCTCAGGACCTTGTCCTCCAGAAACATTTCTGCATAAAAATCCTCAATAAATAGACACAGCCAATATTTTGACTGAGGTAGACCATTACAATTTATTTTCTTGCGCATTTTTGTAAGCATTTCTATAGGAGTTTCTAGTGCCAGTAATTGAAAGTATATTTACTTAATGGCATCTTAAATATTTCACTAATTTCCCACCACACATTTAATAGCAGTTCTAATCTTCTAAGTTATATGTAAATGGACTACTTGTTGACTTTTTCAGCTCATTGGATATTATTATTATTATTATTTATGTTACTGTTTTAGGGATTAAGAGATATGCACAGAGAGGTGAGGACCTTGAGGATCACACAGCTGGTTGGCAGAAAAGCAAAAGACTATTTAAAAATAAGTATTTGCTTTTAATTCTTAAAGTATATTGATATTATTTTCTCAGTGTTAAAATATTACTGAAATAAACCAATAGTCATTAAATGTCAATGGACAAGCATATATGTTCACCTTTTAATATAATATTGCATGTTTTAGACTTCACTTATTGGTTTAATATACATTTTTAAAAATAATTTTTGCTCCAAGATTCAGGTATTATCAATAAAATACATGAAACAAAGTACCAACTAAAGAGCTGTCATACAAATATCCTCAACGGTTATTGAAAATCAAGGCATATTTTAAGACAAAATATTATCCACTAATATAATTTTGAATTGAAATATGAAAATAAGTAATGATCAATTTTTCACAAAGTAACTCCCTGATGAAATAGTACTAAAAGCATCTCAAAGATCCTTATTAGTTTTACCTGTTATTTATCATGGAAATTTATTTGTTTGTTTTGCTTTCCCAGCTAGAGAATGATTACCATCTTTTGTATGTTCCAGTTATAATGAATTAGAAATAATTGTCTACTTGAATTCCTCTTTGATACTTTTGGAATTTGTGAAAGATATACTCAAAATTTTATTCTGATTAGTGAGTCATATTGAAGTCTGTGATACTACTATGAAATAAAGATGATGGAATGAAGACTATGAAGACTTTAGTATGCTTTCTAGGAATACTCCTTTAACTTTACATCTCTGCAAAATGTGGACACAATTTTACTTTCATTCTGTTTCACCTTTAATCTCTTATTCTCTTTTAAATTGCCATACTTATAAGAATACTCTCTTTAGACAGAGTAATACTAATTTCTTCTAAGACAGAAATAATCTGATGGTTATTCAATCATTTCTACAAGGTTTAAAAATATGGATGTCCTAGAAATCTGCTGGAATTAGTTCAAGTGATATCATTTCAAGTATGACCCAATCAAAGCTCTTCTACATTACTAAATAACAAAATTCCAGTCCAGTGACTAAGAATACATTAATATTAATTACTGTTCTTCAGATTCTCTTTATCAAATGTGCATCTATTATGCTTCATGTCTTCACTTATTGTTGTCTTGTAAATTTGTGCACTTTAATAGAAAGTGTGAGTTGTGTAAATTTTAGATAACAAAATTATGAAAAGGAAAATATGTGAACCATATTTAAAACAACTGTCAAAGTAATAAGAGAAAATGACTGTATGTATACCATTTATAGTAAGTAACAATAAACTTGAAGCAAAATCTACTTTGCAGCATCTTTGTGATAATGGATATTTATGAATACTTTTTACTTGTATATGTGTAAAACTGGTTTAATCATAGTAACTTGTAAGGCTTTCTGGTGCAAAACATACCTATTTCTACCTCCAGGATAAGCTGGCAACTGTGGGGAAAATAGCAAAGAATGTAGCAGAACTTAGTAACAAGAGCAGCAGTCCCAGGATATGAAACCTTTGCATGGTTTTCAGGTGCTGAGTCTGCTGAGACAGGACTCCCATGGATAGCAAGGTGCACACTTTACTGGTATAGAGGTGGGATAGAGCAAGATCACATTCAACAATGAATGTGAGTCCCCTGTGGCCATTTAAATCTATATGTTTAACATATAATCTATAATTTGTGTTAATTTATAGTCTATATGAATTTAAAATTCCAGTGCAATTATTTTTATAACATGAAAAATTATTTGTAAATTGTATTACTAAAAGCAATGGTAGATGACCTCGTGGGACCTGGGAGCTCCAGCCAGAGGTGCAAACGGGTCCAGGCTAGACCCAGGCCACTCCTGCAACTCCTGCCATCTACTCAAATGACCTTACAGGACCCAGGAACTCCAGTCAGCAGCACTCATAGGGCCAGGCTAGACCCCGGTCTCTTCTGCAAC